CATTATTATCGTATTTAGCAATTTGGTTACTGTCCTGTCATAAGCATTATGGAAGTTGGCCAAGATCTGGTGAAATTGACATCATGGAATCAAGGGGTATACATGTAGATTTTATCTGTAACTGACATTTTTTTTCAAAATTAAAGATCGACCTTTCTCATATTGTTTCATGATATATTTTTAATAGGAAACCTAAGAGCAGAGGAACATGGCTCTAACCATGGTGTTAGTTATGTAGCATCCACTCTGCACTGGGGCCCTGATGCAGCACATAATGCTTATTACCTAACCCATAAAGGAAAGTAAGGCGTAATGTTTTATACATCCAATTTTACATATGCAGGCGTTTTGATTATTTTTTTCATTAATCAAACACGTAAGATTAAAACTGCTGATTAAATTTATTAATATTTTTCAGACATGCTCCTAGTGGAGATTGGCACGGATGGCATACCTACTCACTGGAATGGACAGACCACCATATTATGTGAGTACATCATTTAAAAAGTCGTACATACATGCACACAGAAAATTTATTAATCTTTTTGTTAAATTTTCGTAAACTATGAAATACAGATGCATTTTTTCATATAACCCTTTTGAATATATATTTTTTCTTTGTAGAACATATGTTGATAATCAGGAAATCATGCATATTACCACTCCTAGCCAAGGTTTCTGGAATTGGGCACATTTCCATGGCAATAACATCTGGGGTAGTCATCATAATGCCCCGTTTGATCATTCTGTATGTAAAATTTATATAACATTTCCTTTTAACACAATCATAGGATAGAATACTATGCTGAGATGCTTTGTCGGAGAACTGTTGTTCACGAATTTATGTGAATTATTTGCATAAGGGAGGAAAAGAGTTATACAATGCGTTTTTATAGCAACATTTGTACATATCAATTAACTCTGTTCAGCAAAATGTCAAAATAGCCCATACTATACCTGCTAGAAAACACCAACTGATTTAAAATAGTTTTGCAATTGAAACAAGAAATGTTCTGGGAAAGGACGGTATAGGAAATTTCAATGTATTTGACAGTCAGGTGAACTACCCTTGATTTACATGTAAATGACCTATACGATTAAGAAAGCAGTGTATATATATATATATAATCTTTTTCTCTCTATATTTTTTTTCTTTTTTTTTTAGTTCCATCTTATTTTAAATGTTGCTGTTGGCGGAGGATTCTTCAGTGATAGTGCCCATTATAACACACCCAAACCCTGGCACAGAAGCTCGCCACATCCCAAGAAGGACTTCTGGGAAAAAAGGGGAGACTGGTTACCCACATGGCACGGAGACGACGTGGCTATGTTGATTGATTATGTAGAAATGATTCAGTATTAAAATATATCATTGCTGTATACCATAATGCTTTGTTTAATGTGTCTACAATTAAAACTCTGGGAGAAATATTTTGAATACTATTACAGTAGGTGGAATAAAAGTTTGAAAAATGTCAGTGACCCCTGGGTCGAGGCCTCTGCTGGTGGACTGTTCGTCCTCGAGAGTTACCTGGTACTCGATACTAGCTTGAAAATACGGGATATATATTTAATTGCTGTGGTAAAATTTAGAAAATTATTTCAAAATTAAGGATTATCTCCCTCATGCATAGCTCTGATCCTTCGACGTATTTAGCTCCAGTCTTTGGCACCTTTTTTCAGCTCTTCCAAGTCTTTTTTATTTAAATATTTTGGATTTCCGACGTTTCGGCTTGAGCATCACTGAAGAGACATAATTTGTCGAAATGCGCATCTGGTGCATAAAAATTGGTACCGTATATGATTTATATTACTTGTCTATATTCGTGTAGAAATGCTTGGGATAATTGGAAGGAAAATGAAAATATATTTGTATGAGATATTAGTCCTGTGATGTTAAAGATTGACCATTTATTAGTTGTCAAATCCTAAGTGTGTCAACCTTTAGCAATCAATCACTCATCACTTTGTCTTGCCTAACTATTTTTCCAAATTTTTTTTGGGGGGGTTGTTCGTTTGTTATCGGATTTTTTATTGTTTCATTTATACATTATGCTCAGAGCATTATTTGCTGTAAGCATAGTGTCATATTTTGATTTTCATCGTTTTGCTTGTCATAATGACCTATAAGTTTTCAGAGAAATGAATGTTTAAACATTTTACATAAATGTATTTACAATAATTATGTGAAATGATGATTTCTGACAATCTGTTGGAAATTTTATGGGTACTAATTTGTCCCGTTATAAGCATTGCTGGTTTTGTATTTTTATGAATCGGGCTTTATTCAAAAATTTCTCCATGCTGTGGTCTTCAATTCGACATTTAGATATATATATCGACAACGTTTTATCAATTAACTACATGTATATTGATTTTTAGCTCACCTCAACAAAGTTGGGGGACTTATGTAATACCCTCGGCGTCGGCGTCCCAGGTTAAGGTTTTTGGAGCAGTTTTCTTTTCAAGTACTTCTATGGCCTATATTAGTCAGAGATGCATGGAAGATGCTTCTAGTGTGTTTCATTGTACCTGTCAAGGTTTCAGATGCTGCAATTTCAGCTAAAGAATGACCAGGTTAATGTTTTTGGAGCAGGTTAAAAGTTTTTGGAGCAGGTCTCATTTCCAAGTAATTATAAGCCCTATATTGACCAAACTTGCATGGGTGATACATCTAAGGATGCACACTACTGGCCTTGCTTCGGATGCTGGATCTGACTTATATTTTCCGGATGAGTGACCTGGTTAAAGTTTTTGGAGCAGATCTCATTTCCAAGTAACTATAAGTCATGTATTGACTAAACTTGTATGGATGATACATCTAAGGATTCACACTACTGGACTTGCTTCGGATGCTGAATCTGACCTACATTTTCCGGATGAGTGAGCAGGTTAAAGTTTTTGGAGCAGATGTCTTTTCCAAGTATCTTTAAACGCTATATTGACCAAACGTGCATGATTGATAACCTAAGGATTCACACTACTGGACTTGCTTCGGATGCTGGATCTGACCTACATTTTACGGATGAGTAACCAGGTTAATGTTTTTGGAGCAGATCTCATTTCCAAGTAACTATAAGGCCTATCTGAACCAAACTTGCATGGATGATACATCAAGGGACGAACAATCTCATACTTGCTTCGGATGCTGGATTTGACTTACATTTTCTGGAAGAGTGACTAGTTTTATGTTTTCAGATAAGTTTATTCCCAAGTAACTGCAAGCCTTATCAGACCAAAATTGCATAAATGTTGCATCTAGGGATGCACAAGATTATTTGTTTAGTGTGGGACTTGCCTTACTTAAAGACAACATTCGTTGAGGTGAGCTCTGTAATCTCTGATTACCTATGTTTATTTCTACATTGATTCGATAAATCCCAATCAAATTGAAATAAAAAATACACAGTCTGACAAACCTGTTTCATATTTGAACGTTTTCCTAGAAAAAGACATTGTTTTACTAATTAACAACTTCAGTTTTTGATAAACGTGGTGACTTTAACTTGTTTACTAAGCTCACAATCTGTATTGTTTGATTAGTGTTTTTGCATGAAATATGAAGATAACAGACAATAATTAAGCTTAATAGTCTACTGAAACAATACATATTGGGAGCAGAGCAAAAACAGACCTCTTAAAACATGAGAGGTGGGATCAGATGCCAATGGAAAATAATCTACTGTAATGTCATGTTCTAAATTTTGAATTTACTGGATGGGAGAAAATACAAAATTTAGAACATGACAACTAGTTGTCATGTTCTTAATTTTGTATTTCCTCCCACCCGGTGAATTCAAAATTTAGAACATGACATTAACAAGAAAAATTACGCTCTTAATTACGCTATAGTTTGCCTTTCTGGAGCAATTTTGCCAAGAGTTGCATGTTCATTTGGTTAAAGTGTCAAGATCAAAGAAAAGAAGTGAATAACTTATGTCAAAGCAACAAAAGTTTTAAAACGATCTTTAGTCTTAACAAGAGCTAGACATAAATGCTTTTTCTTCAGGTCTAATTTTCTTTGGATTCTATTTTATTTTTAAATTGTAAAACGTAAAAAACTGTTGGAGATACAAATTTAAGGAATGCAAGCGACCTTTACCAATTTATTGATGCAATGGCTAGGATAGATCATTTTTATTTCTCAAAGAGTATCAGTCAACTGATTTCAGGAAAAAAAAATATCGGTAGAATTGGGTTAATATATAGTATAAAAAGTCGAACGATAAAACACCAAGGTCATTGCCTCTAGTATAAATGATAAGAGGCACCTGCATAAATCGCAGAGAAGAACATGAAAGGTGCAGGTTTTCTCCTACTCTGGGCTGCTTTGGTGGCCTCAGCCAAGAACTTCTACCCCGAAGTCTCCATTACGGGAGAGTCGGGTCTTAGATTAGGAATTGTAGGTAAGTTTTTTAAGGAATCTATTTTGATTTAGTTTTGTGTAACAATTGTGCTTTGTTTATTGTATATATGAAATAAAAACATATAGATTCAATCACATTGGTTTTCAAAGTCTTAATTCATGCATTATTAAATATACATACACAGAAAAAAAGAAAAAAAAACTAATGCCGAGATTCATCATTCATTTTTTTTTTTTTTACATGAGATCAATGCTGTAAGACAAAATCAGGGCTGTCTGATTACTAGCATAGCAATCAAACAGCAGAGTTTTTACAAAATTACATGTAATATGATTTTGAGTTAAAAGTCAGGACATGTACCTCATTTCACATAGTTGAGTACTAACAAGAAGAATATAGATTTGTTTTTAAGGAGAGAAAAAGATTACTTACTCTTGGTAGTAGATAGAGCAAGCGGAAAGGTTTTAAAGCTTTATAAGTAAGAAGTGCAATATTTTTTTTAAAATCATTTCAATTTTGTTTATTCAGATGAAGATGGCATAAGGAGGGTTCTCTATACAGTACGCTCAGAGAATGAAGAGAGGACATATGAAGTTACATCTAAAAATGGCAAGAATCAGAAATTCTTAATCAATGTTGAATTTTATCTGTATGACAATGCCTGCTTTCAGTGCTTTCTGTTGTAAAAATTGTATCTTTAAACACAGATGACGACATTTGGGAGTACGTGGATCATGACGCTAATGCTCAGATAGGCGATTTGGTAGAATATAAAACATTTGTTGAGTACGGAGAGCAATGGATAGAATCCAAATGGAATAAAGGTTTGGGGAATTTTATATAAAGGTTCGAAGTCTAAGAAATCATATAGTATTTGATTGTTTCAGATAATGCAATTGACTTCACAGATACTAGTTACCTGCATGCAGTCACGAATTTTATGACAGTTTTGACAGAATGATAAGAATTAAGTTGTAAAATTGTAATAAATTTCAATTACTGCAAAGAATATGTACATGTATGAAATATATGAAGATAACGAACAGTATTCAAGTTCAAATGCCCATTTAAACAATACAAATGAGGAGCAGAGAAAATTCTAAACCATATGAGGTGGGATCTTGGAGGAGTGAGCATCCCCTGTTCACATTCTTCCTGCTGGTATAATTTGAAGAGAAATGACAATTTTGGATCATTTCAGTTGTCCTTGTTCCAAGGGGACTTATCATGCCCAGGAAAAGTAAGCGGTCGTACACAGTTTTCAGAGACGATTTCAACTCATTTAACAGGGGTTCCTACACTGTAGAAGTCAGCTCCTGGGGAGGAGGGGTAAATGGCTATAAACTTTTTTTAGAATCATATGTATTCAATATTTATTGATGAACGGATTAATTTTTCTGTCCATTCTACTTTGAGTTGAAAGAGAGAGTATTTTCAAACATTTCATATAATGTATAGGGAGGGGGCGAATGACATACCCAGTCACAATATATGTATTTATTGAATAATATATGCTTAAAACAATTCCGTATTTCAATTACAATAAATTTAATCTTTTTTTAGAACGGAGAATTTCAGGTGTACACACCCGAGAATGTTTATGCAGCAAATGGATACCTTTATCTTAAACCGGTATGTTGTTCTTAGTCGGTAACTAGGGCAATTGACACATCGCTATCAATAATATTAATTTTAAAAAAAAGTCTTGAAATAAATAATATAGTTTTTCAAGGATCATTCATTTAAAAAAAGTTATGAATTTAAAATACATTTTAAATTCATAAAAAAGTATCCTGGACGCAAAATTTTGATTTATTGCAAGACTTTATACCTTAGAGACATAAGGCTTTTAAAATAACATACATGTATATCATTAACATTTTCATATGCTCTGGATTTATATCAAGCTGTTGTATTTTTAGACTTTAACTGTAGATCATCATGCTTTTGATGAGGGTAAACTTTACCATGGGCGAATGGACGTAAATAGTAAGTTGATTTTTGAATATAATCTTTTCCAACAAACATTTGATAGAAATATTCCAACAGGTATACACGTACACGTTGGTTTTCAAAGTTCCGTTTTTACAGGTCTCTGGCACACATGTACAAACAGTGTTAACTGGGGCTGTGACAGAACATCATTTGGGCAGGAAATTCTCCCGCCAATTATGTCAGGAAAAGTGACGTCACACGCTTCTATCAGATATGGACGTGTCAACGTTCGAGCTCGTATTTCCAAAGGAGACTGGACCTGGCCAGGTAATATATCTCAATAAAAGATTCTTGTAGTTATTCCTAAAAGTAATGGGATACAAAAAAAGTTTTATATTAATTGAATTAGCAGTGCTTTCTTGGCATTTTGGAACAATAATACATCTGATTTACATTATTTTGTCTGAAGTAGTAGTATCAATTTTATTCCAGATAAATTGAATATTTGGTGTAAAATGTTAGAGGTTGACGTCATGAATATTGGTTTGCAAACATTTGTAACCTTAAAAATTGTCAGTTATATTGAATGTATTCATTAATGCTGTAACACTGTGTATATGAAAGCATCCTTCTTGCATGTCTTCAAGCCATGTTTTTTTTTCTTCAAAAAATTGAATCTGTTAAATATTAGAGACTAATATATATATATATATATATATATATATATATATATATATATATATATATATATATATATATATATATATATATATATATATATATATATATACACAGTTTCTGGTACCATACCTTAATCAATTGACATGATTCTCAAAATTCTAGATATGAATAGCAAATTAGTGTGCCTCAAAAATTATTTCAAATAAAAAAATATGCAACATAAAAGACCATAGACAAATTCTTTCTTTCGTAGTTCACACATATTCTTTACTACATGAACGAAAGGTGTAAATATTAGGAAAATTAGCAGCATAGGAAACAAAAGATAATAATTTATTAATTATACAATAACATTACACGTGCAATCATTTATCTTTTTATGGAAATTTAAAATAGAATACTAGTATGTGGATATATACATTTAATTATAATACCACCTTTTTCAGCAATATGGATGTTGTCACGTGACAGACATTACGGTACCTGGCCTCGATCTGGCGAAATCGACATGATGGAATCAAGAGGTTGTTATTTAAATTCATTTACAAGATCACTTTGTATTATTGCATGTATGCCTAGCTACCAGAATTCATAAACTGAAGAATCGTTAGAAATAATAGCCACTCTCTCGTTCTTGTGAAGATTTCGTGATTATAGGAAGTAGGGTACTTCAGAAAACCTAAAATAACTTCTCTCTCTTTAAATAATTTTTGCACAAGACACTGTCAAATTATGACTGTGGACAGCAAATGTTTGACAAATCGTCTCGTAGAGGCATGACTTTATTCGTTTGTATTTGCAGGAAATCTAAGAGTGATGGAGGGTGGATCCAACCATGGTGTTGGTTACGTTGCGTCCACATTACACTGGGGACCTGACAGCGGACATAATGCCTATTATCTCACTCACAAAGGAAAGTAAGGAGGATTTTATTGAAACTGTGTTATATATTAATTTGTAATTGGCCAAGAAAAAAATAATTTTCAGTCTCAGTATTTCGCTCAAGTAAGTACACTATACCTTCTTTCAGGCACGGAGACTGGTTCGGATGGCATACTTACTCACTGGATTGGAATGAACGTCATATAGTGTAAGCACTTTATAGTAAAGGGATATTATCTATTTCGAATATAGTTGATGAAGTTAAAATGCTTCAGGTCAATTATCATAATTCGAAGCTTATATAAAAAACCATGTGTCTCACGAGCATGTTGGTAAGCTGTTTTTAGAAAGATTTTATGAGCATAACTAAAAGCCCACATGAAACCGACAAATAGGTTAAACTTGGTTGAAGATCTCGCCTTGAACCTTGTAAAACCTGTTTTAATTCTATTCATTGTGTATTTCTGCACAAGGTGTTTTCCTCGGCATACGGCGACAGCTATCAAAGTTTGTCAAAATGCATTTTGAATAATTCATTTTCCTTTTACCCATGTACATATCCAAGGTTTTGAATTTTGCCATTTTCAGAATCACCGTAACTTAAGCCAGAACGGATGAAGATTAGGCAAAATGTTAGTTGTCAGTACATATTCAAACCTCCGAACCCTTTTGTTTTTAGCTCACCTAAGCAAAAGGCTCATGTGAGATATTTAGTCGAATGGTGTCCGTGGTCTATAACGTCTATAAACTATTTATATTTTCGACTTTCTCTCAAGAACTACTGGGCCAATTTCAACAAAACTTGCCACAAAGCATCCTTTGATAAAGATAATTAAAATTTATTCATATGATGGACCACACCGTCTTTCAAGGTCATATACTTAAGAAATAGTAAAAATTGGGTTGGGTAATTTAAAAACCTTCTTCTCAAGAACCTCTGGGCCAGAAAAGATTAAACTTATGTGAAAGCTTTATTAAATAGTGTACATTCAAGATTATTCAAAACATGCCTCCCGGGAGAGGGGAGGGAGGGCGAGGCCACAATGGGTTCAAAATTTTACATAGGAGTATATTGAAAAATCTTTCGAAATCTTCTTCTCAAGAACAGGAAAGCCTTGATTATGTATATTTATATGGAAGCATCCTCAGATATTGTTGATTCAAGTTTGTTCAAATCATGACCTCAATGATTGGATGGGGCCACAATGGGCGATCAAAGTTTTACACAAGAATACAGAGGTAAAATCTTGGGGGGGGGGGGGTTCTTCATGATAAGTCATATCTGTACTGAAGCATCCTCAGGTATTTAAAATTTAGTTTGTTGAGATCATATCCCCGGGGGATAGGGCGAGGCTACAAGTGTTCAAAGATTAACATGGGGATATATAGGAAAGATCTTTATAAATCTTCTCAAGAACATCAAATGTATTAGTAATTTTTATATTGTGATCTTCAGGTAGTGTTGATTCAATTTTGTTCAAATCATTACCCCTGGGGTAGAGTGGGACCACCATATGTGATCGAAGATTTGAATATAAATACCGTATAACGGGTATTTTCTGCGGTTGGAAATTTTTGCGATTTAACCCCTAAAAGGTTGCAAATTAATTTCTGCGTTTTCAATTGCTGCGGTTGAACTATACCGCAAAAATTTATTTACGGGTATGATCATGCACTAAACTTTATGAATTATCAGAACGCTATTATGTTTTCGTTTTATAAATTCATTAAGACATATTGATCAAAGGTGCATGAAAACTGTTATTAAGCTATTATGCTTAATTAAACTACTATCTTTTAGTTAGTTTTTGTAAAAATATTTCGAGTACCAATTGAAATGAATTAATGCAGTGTCATTCCACCCAAACAACAATACAAATCTTTATTCTAACAGACGTTTTATGCGATATATTAAAATACTAGTATTTAAATATATGTAGATAATGATAATAAATGCATCCAAGCCATATTCTAAAATACATTTCTAGTTAACAGCCATCAAAATTAATTTGGTGTTTATATTTTAAGCGAAAACAAACAGTTGCATAATGAAGTATCCAAAAGTTGACGGTTAACAATCACAGGTGCCATGTGCATTGAGGCGTAACTAATCCTGATCCTGTCAGTCTTATGCATTAGATGAAATTCACGAGACAATCGAGCCACATTGTGTATATACAAGCAGTAATTATTGTCTCAATATAAAACACATGTTTAAAAAAGAAAAACTACTATGTGTTGTTTGCAGCTATCGGTGTTTGGACTAATAATTGCGAAATAGGTACAAGTAAAGATGTTTTTGTATCAACTTATTTAATTGATATTATTTACAGCTAGGAAGGGATTGATTCAATATGTTTTGGACAAATCCTGACATCTAAAATCTTCGAAATTCGATGACACCCGAATTTTTTCGCTAACGAGGATGTGGCCACTCATGAATCTGCGGAGTCATCGATTTTAAAAACCTTGCGTTCCAAATAATTTTGCAGTGTCCAGTACGTAGGTTCTTACGTCAATGAGAACCCTGCCAGACATACGCACCACTTATCATAATTGCATGTACAAAATATCTGAATGAATATTGAAAAAAATATTTTGCGATTGTAATTTTCGCGGATTTGTCCTATCCACAGAATTCCGCAAAAATTGGACAACGGCAGAAAATACCCGTTATACGGTATATAGGGGTAAATCTACTGAAGAAGAATAGCGGGACCATAGTGACTCGGGCGAGCGTTGTGATCCATAGGTCTCTTGTAAATTTAACTTTTAGTTCTTTAGCAGATCTCATTTAAAGTTCGTTAAATTGTTTTGCGCAAGAAATCGTGATAGATTTGGCTCATTATCCCTAAGTAGTATAATTTCGGTGATTGCTCCGCGAATTAAGGCAAATAAGGTGGTAAAAGTTAAAGATTTTAAAGTATGATTTCAAATGAATACACATAGAAATTTGGTCAAAGCAAAATACATTTTATATCATCAAAAATAGGTATTTTAAATTATAATTTTTAGGTCACCTGAGTCACTCAGGTGACCTATTGCTATCTGTTTTCGTCCGTCGTCGTGCGTCGTCCGTCGTGCGTCGTGTGTTAACATTTGAACATTTTCAGTTTCTTCTCTGAAACCGCTGAACCAATTTCAGCCAATTTTTGCATATGGCATCTATGTATGAAGGGGAACAAAATTTATGAATTTCATGGTCCCTACCCCCCTGGGGCCTGAGGCGTGGGGCTAAAACCATCAAAATTAATGCAATCTTTAAAAATCTTCTTCTTTACTCCTGGACATCAAGCAGTCAAACTGTTGACATGATTGTAATAAGCATTGAGCCCTCTACCAAAATTGTGAAATTCATGGCCCCAGGGTCAGGGGTTCTGGTGATAGGGCGGGGCTATATAGATCATATAGTGAAAGTGCATTATTTCTTTGAAAATCTTCTTCTCTACTCCTGGGTATTATTGAAACAAATTGAATACATAGTTATGATAAGCAAGGGTGACTCTACCAAATTGTGAAATTCATGGCCCCAGGGTCAGGGGTTCTGGTGCTAGGGTGGGGCTATATAGATCATATAGTGAAAGTGCATTATTTCTTTGAAAATCTTCTTCTCTACTCCTGGGTATTATTTAAACAAATTAGATACAGAGTTATGATCAGCAAGGGTGACTCTACCAAAATTGTGAAATTCATAGCCCCAGGGTCAGGGGTTCCGGTGCTGGGGGGAGGGGGGGTATATAGATCATAAAGTGAAAGTGCATTATTTCTTTAAAAATATTCTTCTCTTCTCCTTGGTATTATTGAAACAAATTAAATACATAGTTATGATAAGCAAGAGTGACTCTACCAAAATTGTGAAATTCATAGCCCCATGGTAAGGGGTTCTGGTGCTGGGGGGGGGGGGGGGGGGAGGGGGGAGCTATATAGTTCATATAGTGAAAGTGCATTATTCCTTTGAAAATCTTCTTCTCTACTCCTGGGTATTATTTAAACAAATTAAATACATAGTTATGATAAGCAAGAGTAACTCTAAAAAAAATGTGAATTTCATGGCCCCTGAGTCAGGGGTTCTGATGTTAGGCGGGGCTCTATTTATTATATAGTGAAAATGCATTAATGCTTTAAAAATCTTCTTCTCTGCTTCTGGGTATTATTTAAACAAACTAAGTACATTGTTACGATAAGCCAGGACACTTCTTCCAAAATTGTGAAATTCATGGCCCCAGGGACAGGGGTTCTTGTGCTAGGGTGGGGCTATATAGCTCCTACAGTGAAGGTGAATTATTTCTTTGAAAATCTTCTTCTCTGCCCCTGGGTACTATTTAAACAAACTAAGTACATTGTTATGATATGCAAGGATGCCTCTTCTAAAATTGTGAATTTCATGGCCCCAGGGTCAAGGGTTCTGGTCAAAAGGTGGGGGGGGGGGGTGGGGGCTCTATTGATTATATAGTGAAAAATCAAAATTTCTTTGAAAATATTCTTTTCTGCTTCTGGTTAAAAAGGAAAGAAGCTAAGTATATAGTTATGATGAGCAAGAGTGCTTCTTCCAGAGTAGTGAATTGCATGACCCCTGGGTCAGATGTGCTGGTATAAGGGTGGGGCTGTTGATAATGTAGTGAAAATGCATTAATTCTATTAAATAATCCTGTCTGCTCCTTAATATTAAGCAGTTAAACAAAGTGATTACTTATGATGAGCAAACTTGAAACTTCTGGTCCCAGGGTGAGAGGCTCTGGTGTTTCTCGGTGGTGAAAGGGGGGGGGGCTCTATTGATAATATAGTGAATCTGTAGTGAAAATGCATTATTTCTTTAAATCTTCTCTGCACTTGGGCATATCAGAGGCAAAAAGTGTAAAAGTTGTAATAAGGAAGGGTATTTTTACCAGATTTTTGAACATCTGGACCATTTGGTCAAGTGTTCTTGTCCTAGCCAGGGCTCAATTAATTTGCATTCTACTGAGAGGAGTTATTCCCCTTTGCCGTTTACTTTTGATAATTAATCATTGTAAATAATGTACTTGAAAAATTAATAGAATAAGAGAATTATGCAAGAATTTTTATTGTATAATACAAAAAGTATTTTCATAGTTTTAATGATCATGTGGACTTGTAAGTAATAGATAAATAAAAATGAGACAAAAATAACTTGTCTTATTAAATGTTCATCAAAGACCAAGAGAGGCCAATGTTAGAGATTACAACAAGGAATTAAAATAGTACAAAAGCACTGATAGTTTGTTAATATACTATATGGTGATAGTGATAAATGGGGAACAGATTAGAACCTAATTTATGAACTGTTAATGAATAGTAGACTAATTATTTTGTTGATCCTGATCACCCTATTTTTCTTGGTTTTGGGCAACAAAGCTTCACCTTTCATTTCATTTTAATACTCTATGGATCCTCTAAATTGTTGTATTTTACTCAGGTGACCGTTAAGGCCCTTGGGCCTCTTGTTTTTTTTTTTTTTACATTGATTCTCTGACTTAAGTCTTCCATCAATCTATTGCAGAACATATGTTGACAATCAAGAAATCCTGCGTGTAGACACTCCAGCACAAGGATTCTGGAACTGGGCACATTTCTCAGGACACAACATCTGGGGAAATTCACATAATGCACCTTTTGATCAACCTGTGAGTGAATATCTATATCTGAAACAGAATTCTTATATCCCTTTAAATTTGCCGGAAATGTAAAGTAATTGCTGGTGAAAGTATTTGCTTGTGTGGTATGGAGTTATTAGTCCCCTACCGGTGAAACCGGAGGGGACTATAGGTTTCCTCTGAGTCTGTCCGTCCGTCTGTCTGCCCATCTGTCTGTCCGTCTAGCTGTCCCTCTGTCTGTCTTTCTGTCCCACTTGGTTTTCCGCACTTTTTTTCTAAACGCTTGCAGATATTGAGCTGAAATTTGGTATGTGAGTGTATCTAGATGAATTACAGATGAAGTTTGCATTTCGTTCCGCTTCAATGATTTTTGACGGAATTACGACCATTTGAATTTTTCAGGGTTTTTTTCTAAACGCTTGCAGATATTGAGCTGATGTTTGGCAGGTAACTAAACCTTGATCAGTTATAGATCAAGTTCGCATTTCGTCCCTCTCATTGATTTTTTACGGAATTATGGCATTTTCAATTTTTAGCTGGAACCAGATTACACTTGCCGGTAGGGGACTAGTATTGCTAATGCAATTCTCTCAGAATGCTTGTTTTCTTTTTTCAGGCTCATTTGCCAGTCAATAAATAGAATTCTTGTCAGCTGTATATTTTATATACGTACAAGTTAAAGTAATTATGATTTACCTATCGACTAAGTGACATGTTCATCTCATAAAATATTCATATATTGCTGCTTAACTATGTTTCCGAACTTAATTTGGGAAGATAATGTTTTTGCGTTGTTACTTTTTGTCCCCCGCTGTCACTGAAAGTGGGGGATATTAATTTTGGTCCAGCTGTCCGTCCGTCTGTATTTCTGTCTGTAACACTTTCGTTTCCTCGCGATATCTCAAGAAGCCTTTGAGCTTTCGCAATGAAATTTTACATAACAACTCCCTATGCCCTAAAGAAGAACCCTATTGATTTTGACGTCAAAAGGTCAAAGTCATAAATTCTATCTGTTTTAAAACTTTCGTTTCCGCGCGATATCTCGAGAAGCCTTTGAGCTTTCGCAATGAAATTTACATAACTCCTGTGGTCTGAAGAAGACGCCTATTGATTTTGAGGTCAAAAGGTTAAAGGTCAAGGTCGTAAATTCATACATTCTGTCTCTGTGTAATACATGCATTCGTTTCCGGGCGATATCTCAAGAAGTAGTTTATGTTGAAAATGGCACCTATAATAGAGAGGAAATGACTGCTTTCTAAAATTATACTCGTTTTTCGAAGTTTTATCACAGTATGAATTAAACTTAATAGAATATTTTACTTGTTACTTTTGTTTTCCGTAATTTAGTTCCATCTTCTCCTCAATGTGGCAGTAGGAGGTGGGTACTTCCCGGACATCGCCCAGTATAACACACCCAAACCTTGGCATGGAGATTCCTCTCACCCTATGAGGGACTTCTGGGAACACAGGGGTAGCTGGTTACCCACGTGGCACGGTGATGACGTGGCTATGTTGATTGATTATGTAGAAATGATTCAGTACTAAGTAGGAAATATGATTATTCTTATTTTTAGATACATGAATTTTGCATGCAGTGTCAGATTAAACGCTTTATTTGAATTCTGTGAGTTCTTTTTTCTCCCACAGTTGTTTTTTGTCCCCCACTTTCGCGAAAGCGAGTGGACATTAAATCTCAATCGTCTGTCAGTCTGTCCGTCAGTCTGTCATAAAAACTTTAACCTTAGTCATTACTTTTGAATGAGAAGAAATGGGGCTTAATATTTAAGATGAACATTATTACCTATGAAAAGACCTAATATACTATGATTTTTGACCCCGTGACCTTGACGTTGAAGTTTGACTTACATTTCAAAACTATTATTATAACTTTAAATTGGTCATAACTTTTGAAAAGGAAAAGACAGGGCTTTTATATTACACATGTATATTACCTTTGATAAGACCTTTCTAAATGTACTATGACCTTTGACCCTGTGACCTTGACCTTGAAGTTTGACCTACTTTTCAAAAATTTTATCTTTTGCTTTTAACTTTTGATTTAGAAGAGATAGGGCTTTCATATTTAATATTACATTATCTGTTACAAGACCTTTCCAAATATACTATAATTTTAGACCTCGTGACCTTGAAGTTTGACCTACTTTTCAAAAATTTTAATCTTGGGTGATTCCTTTTTAACGACTTATGAAAGAGCATTCATGTTTGACAATTGCTTTATCTGTGTCAAAATGTTTCTGAATGTGCTATATTTGACCCCATGACCTTCACCTTAAGTTTGACCTATTTTCAAACATTTTCTCAATGTGCCTAACTTTTAAAGGAGCGAAGATACGGCATTCGTATTTGACACAGGCATTACCTGTGGCAAGCATTTCCAAATGTTCTTTGATTTTTAACCCCTTGACCTTGAAGTTTGACATAATTTTCAAAAATTTTAACATTGCTAATAACTTTTGATTTAGAGTAGATATGGCATTTACATACTACATGTGCATTACCTGTTTCAAGACCTTTCCGTTTCTGACCTCGTGACCTTGAGCTTAATGTTTAACCTACAATCTCTTTTCAGATTAATTTTACATTTGTAATAACGTTTGAATGGGAGAAGATACAGCTTTCATATTTCTACGTGTACATTATTTATGACAACGTCTTTCAGAAAAGTATATCATTTTTAGCTCACCTGAGCCGAAGGCTCAAGTGAGCTTTTCTGATCAAATTTTGTCCGTCGTACGTCTGTCCGTCCGTCCGTCTGTCCGTCTGTAAACTTTTCACATTTTCGAATTCTTCTCAAGAACCACTGGGCCAAATTCAACCAAACTTGCCACAAAGTATTCTAGGGTAAAGGGGATTCAAGTTTGTTCAAATGAAGGGCCACGCCATCTTTCAAGGGGAGATAATCAGGAATTAGTGAAAAAATAATGGCATCATTTAAAAATCTTCTTCTCAAGAACCACTGGGCCAGGAAAGATAAAACTTATGTGGAAACATCCTCAGGTATTGTAGATTCAAGTTTGGTCAAATCATGACCCCCGGGGGTAGGTTGGGGCCACAATGGGGGATCAAAGTTTTACATAGAAATATATAGGAAAATATCTTTAAAAATCTTCTTCTTAAGAACAGCAAAGCCATGATTGGTCATATTTATATGGAAGCTTCCTCGGGTAGTGTAGATTCAAGTTTGTTCAAATCATGACCCCCGGGGTAGGGCGGGGCCACAATGGGGGATCAAAGTTTTACATAGAAATATATAGGAAAATATCTTACAAAATCTTCTTCTTAAGAACAGCAAAGCCATAATTGGTCATATTTATATGGAAGCATCCTCAGGTAGTGTAGATTCAAGTTTGTTCAAATCATGACCCCTGGGGATAGGGTGGGGCCACAATGGGGTATCAAAGTTTTACATAGAAATATATAGGAAAATATCTTTAAAGATCTTCTTCTTAAGAACAGCAAAGCCATGATTGGTCATATTTATATGGAAGCATCCTCAGGTAGTGTAGATTCAAGTTTGTTCAAATCATGACCCCCGGGGTAGGATGGGGCCACAATGGGGGATCAAAGTTTTACATAGAAATATATAGGAAAACATCTTTAAAAATCTTCTTCTGAAGAACAGCAAAACCATAATTGGTCATATTTATATGGAAGCATCCTCAGGTAGTGTAGATTCAATTTTGTTCAAATTATGACCCCCGGGGGTAGGTTGGGGCCACAATGGGGGATAAAAGTTTTACATAGAAATATATAGGAAAATATCTTTTAAAATCTTCTTCTCAAGAACAGCAAAGCCATGATTGGTTATATTTATATGGAAGCATCCTCAGGTAGTGTTGATTCAAATTTGTTCAAATCATGACCCTATGGGGGTAGGGTGGGGCAACAATTGGGGGATCAAAGTTTTACATAGAAATATACAGGAAAAAATCTTTTTTCTCAAGAACAGAAAAGCCATGATTAGTAAAATTGATATGGAGGCATCCTTGGGTAGCGTAGAATGAAAATTGTTCAAATGAAGGACCCCAGGGGTAGGGTGGGGCCACAATGGGGGATCAAATTTTTACAAATGAATATATGGGAAAAAATCTTCTGCTCAAGAACAGCAATGCCATTTGCTATACTGATATGAAAGCATCATCAGGTAGTTTAAAATTCAAACCCCCTCCCCCTTCGTTAACTTTTCAAAACTAAACTGATTTTTGCTTTTTTTTCCTAGCCAATGTGCTCAGGTGAGCGATGTGGCGCATGGGCCTCTTGTTTACTTTATGACCTTGACCTAGAAGTTTCACCTACTTATAAGAAATTTAACCTTGACCATAACCTTTATGCTCTAAAAGAGACACGGCTTTCATATTTTTTTTCACATGGGCATTACTTGTGATAAGACCTTTCGGATTGTATTATGATAATTGACTTCATGATCTTGATCTTGAAGTTTGATGTAGTTTTGAGAAGCTATACTAGTAATCTTTGCCATTGCTGTTATTAATTCAATAATTTATGTCTTTTTGTAGACAAGACACACAAACAAGACATTTACAATATGCCATAAATAATGGCATCCCAACAACCAAGACACCGAAAGCGGGGGACCACAATTTTTGAATTTGCTTGTTAACATATGATGCTGTCTACTTCGTATTTGACCTGTTTTAAATCCACCCACATGCGACGAACAATTTTCAAAATAATACCGTAAATTAATTTTTTCGTGAGAACTTTATCTTCGTGCAATTACGCGAGACCGTCTCATCGTAAAAATTTCATTCTCGCCTTTAATTCTACTTTTTAAAGATGATATAGAGCAATAACCAAAATTTGTGAAAATTTTGTTTCCCTTACAAAAACCAAAGAAAATTCTCGCGAAAATAAGATGTCGCGAAAATTTAGTGATCTACAATAGCTGACGATAGTCGATTTCAAAAGCAGGCATCCCCAGGTCTGCTCAGTAGAGATGGGGTAATCAGTACAACATAGGAATATTTTCAATCCCCTCTCGTACATATTTTGTCATTGCTTTTAGAATAGGAAATCGAAACAAAAGAGCATGGTTTATTCGTTGACATTACAGCAAATTCCTGTTTGTTTGTTTGTATGTACATAGTTACGGAAGTGATAAATATATAAAAGTACATGCGGGGTGTATTTTTCCTGAATGTTTTGTGTTATTGTCGATATCTTACTCATCAAATTTTCAAAGTGGTATTTTAAACTATTTTATTATAATATTCAAGGCCTAGTCCTCAATCATTGAATAACTACTGGCCTTAATTTCAAATGCAATTGTACTTTAAATTTTAAAAAAAAACATGCAGGTTTCCCCAAAATACATTAAAAGCTATCAATTTACTCATTATTTTGATATTTACAGGTAAAATGCGTATTGTTCTTTCATTATCAATAATTCTACGGATGCATATGATCTATATCCGTATTGTAGGTTAAAACAAGTAAAGGTGGCTTAGATGAGTGGATCCGGTCACCTAGCATAAAACAAAGGGTTGTCACCTAAATAGATATAGATTTTATGGAGCAGAGGCATATAGATAATTCATTCTGCAATTACAGGGGCAAATATCTTTGTAAAAATGTAAATATTGCTGAGTGTCGGTTCATGACTTGCAATCAATGATTTCAATACACTACCATAAAAGCTAATGACTCCCGAGCAGGTTCCGAAGTAATCAATGATCCTGCTACTCTATATGGGTGAAAGGATGGTACAATCTTGACGGGTGAGTTTTGTTATTAATGTACTTTTTGTACTGTTAGAACCAATGAAATAAAAACCACTATGTTCTCCAGAAAACATTACAGAAATATTGCTTTGCGTTTTTCCCATACTGGTACTTAAAAAAAAATTATATAAAACTCGTATGGCACTATCCTGTTCGGTTTATTTAACCATGAATTATTAAGACACTCTTTATTTTTTTCTGAGATATTTTCAGCATACATGTATGCTCACGGATAGCGTATTTTCATATCTCTTATTGATTTTAGGAAGTCGTAAAACTTTTATTGTTTCATTGATTATTAATTTCAACCGAGCCCCTGTTGACATAGTCTGAAATTCTCCAACTCTGTGGTGCAAACACACAAAAAATGATCTTATCATGACTTCTAATTAATACCAAATTGCTTTGCAGTATTTGATTAACATTTCTTAGGTAAATATACTTTTGAATTAGTTAAATAGTATAAACTAAATAAAGACATTTCGCTTTTATTTCAACACATGTGACTTTAATTACAGTTTTACTTTTTTAAAGTATAAATTTTCTAGCATTTCAAAAGTATTTGCTTTTATTTGTACTCAACAACTCTATGTATGTGGAAAATTAAATACTGCTTAAGTGCATGCTAACCCTGAATTTGACGAAAATATTGTTGGTGTATAGGATATAATGGAAGTCTAAAGGATAGCATCTATTTCCCAATACAAGTCTATATCGTTGTGCTGATAGTAGCCAATTAATGAAGCCGAAATAGTTCAGGCATTGAAACTAGAGATTAATTCAATAAAATTGACAATTCATGGTGCGTCTTTGAACATTTGTGAATAGAAATGATATAGTTAAGAAATCAATTTAAAA